AACTAGCAACAAGGCTTCGAATGAAGCCATGTTCAAGGAGTTGTCCAAGCAAACCGCCTTGGCTGTACAATATAAGCGCAAAACAGACTCGCTACGCAGGGCCCTAAAGCAACATGGAGTCCTGGACAGTGATGGCGAATCCCCAGGAAAAAATTCGGGCTCCGATGATGTTTGCCTGAAGTTACTTGAGACAGAAAAGGCGCTGGAGCTGGCTAACGCCAAGCTCAAGGATGCAAAAAACAACAAACCAGATACGAAAAAGCTTCAAGATCTAGTTGAAAGTTCGGAACGTAAAGCTAGCGAACTTCAAAAGGAAAACAAAGCACTGAAACAAAGCCTCGCCAGGTTCAAGGAGGAAATGGCTAACTATGAGGACCGGCGACAAGCAAAGGAAGAAAGACTAAAACAGAAAGAACAGAAGCTTCAAGGTCGTGTTCAAGAATATAAAAATCGCCTCCACGAGGAAAGACAACAGCATCAAGAAGCAGAGAGACTTTTGAAGCAGTCATTCACCGACGAAAAACGATATATGCAGGGTATAATTGACTCACTCCGTCAAGACATATCCACAGTGGAACAAAATTCTCACAACCATACCAAGCGGAAGAGCGAAACAAGGGTGTCTCCGAACCATATAGAGATGCGACAGCGGGATGACTTACAGGATATGCATGATAGGAAATTTAGCCCGCGAAAGGGGACCGCAATGGGGACCAGAATCACTCAAGGTCACAGGGATACAATAGAAAGTCCTAAGAAAGGTAATACCCAAAATGAGCGTATTCTCAACTGTGACATACCTCGAAATAATGGTGATGGGCAGATCGATATGGGGGAATTGCAATCACGGCTATCTGGGCGAGACGGGACGCGGGCAGAGAACACTAGACCGATTAGAAAAGGTTCATTGATCGATTACAGCGAGGAAGACGAGCCACTGAATGATCTGGAAGACTCTCTCGCACGACCTAGAAGTCGAGATACCGCACCCTTCCTTGATCGAAACAGCCCCTCCGTCCCTCCATCATCGCCACCCGCACATCAATCAATAGAGAACCACCCAGAATTCTCCATATCAACCCCAAGAACAAAACTACACATCCAACCCCGCATAACAATATCTCCCAGACCCTCCATGGTTCACATGTCACCAAAACCCAAAGCCCTTTCAAAACAATCAAGCCAATATCATCACCATCTCAGACGCAAGGCCAGTGCGGCTCGAGTATTCCCTAGGGCTTCTTCCAAAGTTGGAGTGCCGGTCTCTTCAGGGCCGAATCGTCGAATTCCCCCGCTCGACAAGTCAATACCCCCTGGAAGTGATTCCGCCAACAGTCCTGCTGGTATGAAACGTGATGCGCTCCCTGCGGATAGAGTGGCGGCGGCTATGAGACGGCTTAAACTTAAGGAGAAAAGGTGGAATGCTGACGGGAAGGAGAATGTCTGGTCAGGTTGATTTGCGATGCCTTTGACGATGAAGTTGGCGAGAGGGGGGTGTATAGCAAAGAGGATAAAAGCCGCTCGATTGAATCTGGAATTGGGCGTTTTGGTTTTGGTCTTTGCATGTCTCCATGGAGAATGCTGGAAGGGTTGTAATGCAGTTTAAACCCATGCCTATTGCCGTTTTGTTTGACGCCATTTTTTCCTACTTTTCTCTCTTCTTTTATTTTTTTAATTTTTGGTTTCTATTCTTGGAGGCGCCAAGCACACAGTGTTAGTTATTCCTTGCATGGTGATGGGGGGTTGATACGTATCTTCAATTCACCTGCGTTGCTGGTGTTGGTGAAACTGCTACTATTGTCAAGCGACGTTATGGGGAGTTCTTTTCGTCAAAATTATTATTGTTATTCTATTCTTTTTTTCGGGAGCCCTGGGAGGCTGCTAGTAATGATGAAGCGCTTAATCGAGTGTGATGTTTTCGTATAGTTTTGCAACATTATGGGTGGTCGTTCCACATTTCCAGCGTTGTGCAGGCAACCCTATAGGGGTAAGCACTTTTTTTGAATTTCTGATTTAAATCCTTCATGGTGAATCTCTTGTAAGTAATTACTCTTTCCATCTTAGAAAAGGTTCAGCAAGGTATTTACTTCACCAACAGACGCATATTTCTTTCCTCCACTAGATTGCAAGGTCTATGTAGTCCATATCTATCTAACTTCCATAGGGATTATCTATAATCGCGTAAGCGGATAAAAGCTTAAAATATGCACGCACGGGCAAATATCTCCACGTTCATTTCCAGATTTCACTCCGCTGTGTCCCCTTCTTTTTCCTCCTCATTCATACACATATGTCATTTCAGATCTCGTTTACCGATATACCAACATAATCATCTCAAATAACTCCCTACGCCTTCCCATCCGCAAACGAAACGACGGCCCACTTCCCGCTCCACGCCCACTTGCGCTCCTTCTCCCCGGCACCCCCAAACAACGAGCGAATGCGCTCGTCTTCGCCCTCCGGCAGACCAACGACAACATCTGCCTTACAGGTGCGGAGGGCAAGAGTTCGGATACCCGAGCCTTGTCCTAGTGGACCAATTGCGGTGATAAAGGGGGTTGTTGGAGGCCATTGAACCTGTAATTTTAGGTGTACGGTATTAGCCCCGTTTTGTATTCTCATGCTATAGGACAATGATCGGATATTCTCTTTTATGAAAATGCAGGATTTAAATGCGGTGGTGGGAAGATGAAACGTACATCACCAGTTAACTTCCTATAATTCAAATCGCCCTTGAAAATTACCAACTCGCTCTCTTTGAGATCTTCCATAAGTCCGGGCGCCTCGTTCGGGAGACGCCAGTAGCTGGCCGCTGTGGTCCAGAAACGGTTGGGCCGAATGATCAGTTTCCCCTCTTCGTGGAATTTGCTCCATTGCTGGAAGAGAAATTGGAGATCCTTCACTTCTTGCTCAGAAAGGGCTTGTGACTTATCACCATGTTCATTTGGCAAAGTGTAAAAGGATTGCGGGTCTGAGAGGGCGGAGATAAGCTCCAGGAAGTCCTGGAGTAGCACGTCGGAGACATACCAGGGGATTGACTTGGGATGAAGTACGATTGTGGTGGCCAGGCCGGCGGAAAGGAGGTAGCCAGCTAAGATTAGATCGACGAACAACTCGAAGCCGGCATTGTCGAGGGCAATGTCGACGCGGCGCTCTTCAGAGGGTCTAGCTTTACGAGCGGAGCTCAGAACTTTAAAAGCGGCAGGGAGGTCATTGATGAGGATGTTCCCTTCCGCGACCTTGCGGGCTTCCGCACACTGCAACTTTTGAATATCTTCGTACGTAAGGGATGTTAAAAGGGAGAGATCCGTGGCGTTACCCCAGAGGCATATCTCACACATCTCCATAAAAAGGAGCCTTTCAGCATCCTCGATCTGTTCTGGGGTCTTGTCTCGGACTCCCTCGCCGCATTCAAGTTGTTTGATGAGTTCTTTGTATTTGGCACTCAATTCGAGGACTGCAGGACGGGATGATTTGAAAGTGGATATCTTCTGTCGGGAAAAGACATCGTATGTCTTCCATTGAGTGGATAATGTGAATGCCAGGTTTATTCGTCTATCTTTTGTTAAAAATCAGTAGAAACCCTTGTCTTCAATGCGCCGGTATCAACGAACAAAGATAACACTCTGTAAATAGCCACGGAGCATTAAACCAAGTAAGTTGGACGTGTTCCTCAAGCTCCTTGTTATATACCGCGATATCTGCCTCGCCATCATCTTCCAATGGCCTGATTTTCGTATCCATCTTCCGTCAGCCTCCCCATTATATTGAGATATAACAATATCCATCCAAACGCATCTGCTAAGACGACAGGGGATCAAGCCAAACAACATACGTCAATTTCCGATCATGCTGCAACTCATATTTGAGCTCAGCTAGCTTCCCCACAATCTCTTTACCTTCCTTTCTTTTGTCATCGTTGGCAACTTCGAAGAGAGTACGGGAAAGGTCGTCGATTGCTCCGGTCTGGATTCATAGCGCATTGGGTTAACAATTGAGAAAATAGTAATCTACAAGTCATTTAAATGGAAACACAATACTTACTAAGATGACCGGCCATCGATCCCGCGCTGACACGTATGCGAAGGACGAGGTGTCAGCTGTGTGGTATGGAGCTGGCGGAAATACATGTTAGACTTTGTCATTCTCCCCTCCATTGCCCCACGTTGTTGGATTCAGCGGGCGACAAAGTACTTGGAATACCCACCAGTGGAAGGGGGAACTTACGAGTCTTAGTATCAAGTTCCATCTTTGCCCAGAGTTGTTCTTATTTTTATATGGGTTTAACTTTGAAGAATATTCAAAGTGGAGGTGAAGCTTTAGTTATTGCTGGAAGAAAAGTTGCGAAGAACCCAACATCTGCTTGGCTTGACGGCCCCTTTTTTAACACCGCAATTACGGCTTCTCAGCACTTCCCTTGATAGTTATTCAAATACAGCTGACCATCCACTTCTATAAATGATATATTCATGCTAGAAATGGTTATCAAGTTTAACCTAATTCCGATCTCGTAAATTCTTCCCTCGAGGCAATGAAATAAGTCCATTGTAGTGGTTGAAATTACAAGCCAATTCTAGAGCATTTCTTGCTAGCCATGGGTTCCATGTCAATATGTAAGGTTGGGTCCCTCTATCTTAACAAAGTCTCATCTCTTTGAGTAAGGCTTAGTGACCCTTAGTTATTGAGTTATAGCCACACCTAAGGTGCACCGTAGTCTTCTTAATCAAGCGATCCGCTGTAGGTTCTTGTGAATATATGAAAAGAAGTTCTTAAACTGGCCTTCAACTCCTAAGAATATGTCTAATAAGGAAGATAACTTCATGTCGCTGGCTTCAAAATAGTAGTAGCCAAAGCTTGATTCATCAAAATAGTCTGAAACACAAACATGCTGACCAAATATCAAGACATTCAACTCATACCTAGGTAAGAAGTTACCTCACTGGTATATATGACTCCAGGTATATTTTACCTAAAGGGGAACCCGTATGAAAAAAAAGTCATTTTGGACGCTTGCTTCAACAAAAAGATACATGCAAACAAAAGAAAACCGGTGAAAATAATGCCTTCTTCTTTCTTGCGTCTTCCTTCCCACTTCAACGTAGACTCGGTCATTGATAAATCCAACAAAAGCAATCCTAGATGTCATCGGTATCTCATCATCTTTGTTCACATTAAAGACATAATAGAGTTTGCAGCATAGGCCTGGAACAAGAGCGTCGGGTGTTAAACAAATGGTTAGCAAGTTGCTGCTGGGGTGGGAAATGATGCAATACATCAATCATGTCACAAAAAGGAAAAATATACACATACCATAGGCTTGATATTAGGATGCGGAACGGCTTCGAACTTATGGAAGTCAAGTTTTAGCTCGTGGCCGATATTGATATACGCGCCCTTATTCTCTGTGCTATCGCAGTACCTGGGCGCGGAGAAAACTACAACCGAGGAAATTGGGAAAATCATGTTAGTAGAACTTCCATTGACACACAAGGAAGGACAGCATGGAAAGTGGTTACAAAACGGTCGGGGGGAAAAGAAGATAACCACTCACCCGTAATACACCTCCCATCATGCTCAACCTCATATCCTTCCATCCGAACCTCATGGCTCCTAATAACAGCTTCAATCCCATTCGTCTCACAAAATCTCTTGGTAACATCCGGCCCAAACTGCAACCCAACCCCTCTCTTACTCGGTCCCCTCCCAGGTGCTGTCTGCGGATCCGTCCAGAGCATCTCCATCATAAGTCCAGACTGCCCTGGCTGCCGCTGATTATGCCTATTCAGCTTCCTAATATCGTCCAGCGTGACCTTATCGTCTGAAAACAACCCGCCATGCAGCGTCAGATATTTGTCGCCGATCAGCGTGGCCAGAGGGAGCGCGGAGAAGGATTCGGAAAATGTCTTGAAGAGCCGCTCGTTGTATTTAGCCTTGCATTCACCTTCAAAGCCATAGGTGCGGTTCATGTCATCTGTCTCGTGGTTTCCCCGGTTCAGGAAGAATTTTGTGGGTCGTAGCCATTTGTAAGAGAAGAGAAGGAGGGCGATTTCAGTGGACCAGGAGCCTCGGTCGACAAAATCGCCGTTGAAGAGGTAACCGTGTGTGTCGGAAGGATAACCGTTTAGACGAAAGATTTCGAGGAGGTCGAAGAATTGGCCTGTTCCAGGGTTTCAGATTTTTGTCAGTATCAGTCCGGACTCCCCTCAGCCGGAATAAAGAAAAACAGTCAATCCCGCCCTTGGTTCTCCAAAACATACCATGCGTATCCCCACAAACCGTCAACTTCGTCCCCTCAGTCACGGTAATCTCCACCATCGTCGGCTCATCATAAACGATATCTTTCGTCGCCCGCACAATCTGAAACGCATACTTCTTATGAATCTTCTTCCCAGCCTTAAATCGCTCAATCATATCATCTATGAACTCCTGCGTCATCATCTTGTCTAATCGCACGCCATCATAGCTCTCCTCCACAACCATGTTGTCAATATCCAGGCCCTCAAACGCAGACGGCGGGTCCGCAACCTCAATGGCCTTCTCAAACTCGACCCGTCGCACCAGCTTTTCGCATTCTGACAGTTTCAGCTTTGCATCGGGGTCGTTTGGCGCCTTGCGGACGACGGTTTTGAAATCTTTCAGCGCTGCGCGCGGGTTGAGAATGGCGGTGTTTGCGATTGCTCGTCGCCAATATGCCTGTCGTTTTCCATTTCACGGAATTAGCGTCAGAAGGACACATGCATGAGATGTGAAAAGATCGAAGAGAGTTTATATCTTTGAACCCTAGACGACGGAGAGTAAAGGGAAACTATTCTGAACCTTAACATAATCTGGATTCAGCTCGATTGCCTTAGTGGCGTCTGCTACAGCATAGCCATACGCTTCCAGCTTGATATGTACCTATCCACCCAGATTACACCAGTTAGTCATGGTACTTCTCAGTATCCCCGAGCCAACCGAAAAATTTTTCCTGTTACTCACAACACCAGCGCAGAGGTACAGCGCAGAGGTACAGAAAGAAAAGCAAGTAAATCCATACCTGAGCGCGGTTGCAATAAAACGAAGAATCCTGGTCATACTTCTCAATAGCCTTGGTGTATAACTCCAACGCCTGGACCCAATCGTGCTGTGCGAATGCCTTGTTCCCCTGCAATTTGAGGGCCGTCGCCGCCTCTTTATCCGGAGTCATCATCGCGGAAGACAGAAAGATGGCGCAGGGGCCTTTTTCATAAATTTATTCACTGCTAATCCGAAAACCAAAAACCCCCGTGTTTCCCTCCTCTTGTCTTCTTTCTTCCCTCTTCCGTATACCTATCTCTTGCTGGAATTGACGGGGAAGCTCCCAGAGCCTTGGTTCTGTCATGCGACAGCGGGGATCTCGAGTTGGATATGCCGGGAGACTGAATGATCAGAAAGAGACCATTCCTCCTTTTCCGCTGGTTTGGCTTCTATCTGTTTAATCTCTGGTATTTCTATTGCGGGGAAAAGCTCGCTCTGGTGGATGAATATAGAATATGTACGCTATATGAGATGTATCTGTATGTGCATGTTTGGCTGCAGTGCTGCGTCCACTCTAAGTAGCATATCGGGGAAAAAGATGAAAGAAGAAAAAAGGAAAAAGTTTGACATGCTTTTGACACTGGCAGTTTACACCAGCTGCGAGCCTAGGCGGTTTTGGGCCTAGTGGCTGCGGACCGCCCTTGGTCTGTGCGCTGAATGAGGCCACCACTGAAGAATAACGTAAGCGATCATAAAATGCAAATTAGTTTTTGAAATAAATCATCTGGTTGTATAACTTTCTAACTCAATTTAATAAATTTTCAAATTAAACAGCAATTACTGAAAATTATGTATGATAATTTTATAGAATATAGTTTCAAAAAAGAGATTCTTTTGGTCAGCAGAAGCGGTGTCAATCTGCCTCCGGACTTTCTGATTTTCCGGATGCACTCTCTCGCGATTCTATTTCTCATCCAAGACGGCAGCTCCCCTTGGGTTGGAGATTCAGTGGATTTCTGAAAAGAATGATGTGGATGCGATGAGAATTTCGGAATGGATTGGTGGGCGATAAAAATGCCTGGGTTTCCGCGGGCAGAAGTGTCAAGGCTGGGCAATATGTTCCCTGTGGACCGGGTCAATATTTTCCAGTTGTCGTGTCGTCTTCCCCGACACATCTTCTTTTTGCTACAGACTACAAGTTCAAACAGAAGGGAAATGGCAGGACAGAGAAGAGAGAGTGAAGGGGGTGATGGTGATATTCAACACGGCGGGTTGGGTTAATGGGAATAGCCCGATCTTCCTCAAAATACGATTTCAATCCCCCTGTTTTGTTCGCGCTTATGACCATTCCGTCGCGATCAAATAATAAGGATTAATCTTCACCTGGTCTATCCGTTCCCACATTCGCGTTGTGCATCAAAACCAAGCCGGATCGACCCTTTGACCATGATCCTCCCTTTGATTATATATATCAGCATCTGCTCCCAGCGAACCATCTTCTCTCGCAGAGAGTATCATACATCATAACTTCCTAACAATTCTGCATTTTTGTTCCCCTGTTTGCTTCCCATCAACATAATATTAGCATACCAACCTATTCTTTCTCCCCTTACAACTCCTAGTTAATCTCACACCAACTCAACAGTCTTTTATACCGTCAAAATGGCGGGACTTTCACAAGAAGATCGCAACATTGTCAAGGACCATCCTCTAACCAACTTAGTTGATCATTTACGAGACGCGCTTCAGGAAGCCGAAAGAATATACGAGTCGCGTCTAATTTCCTACGATGGCGCTGCTGATAGCCTTGACCAACTCTATCGAATGCGATTTCAAAACTCCTCTCTGCCTTGCAGGGAGAGGATGCAGCTTACAGCCTTCGCTCGCCAATGAGTAACAGGGATATTGTGTCTGATCTAGCACACTTAGTCGAGTGTCTCCGAAAAGCACAAGAAAACTTCAAGAACGACGACTACCGGCCACTAGTGAACCTGGTTATTCAAAGGCCTCCCACTGAATCCCAGAACGCCGAAACCTGGAATTTCGATGTCTGGAAATCTGTATTTACCCTCATTGACACCATCCCTCGACGAACAACTCCTCCGGCGAGCGTCCCCCCCTTCATTTGACGGCACACCAGTCAAATCCACCTCGTCATCGCAGAAAGGCTCCGAGCAGACGCGTGAGTTGGTGAATCTGAGAATCTTCAAGGAGATACATGGCTGCACATTTCGAGACGTTGAGGGCTTCTTTGACAAATATTTTGAGGAGAAGGATTGGAGCGGCAAAGCAGATGCCATCTGTCAACGCGTATTGGCCCCGGACAGCGACGGTAATTGGGCCCAGTTTCCCAACCCTCCTACACAGGACAATGTCCTCACCTGGTGGTTTCGTCTTCAAGAAGACCTTCTCTCAGAATCACGCGGCACCTACTACACCACGGTGAGCAAAGCAGATCTTACCAGTTCAAAGGCGGAACGGCAAGTCGACCTCCTTCTGAGAGCTAGAGGTGCGAACCCCTCGCAAAAAAATCACGACTGTGGAGATATCCTGGTAGTTGGCGAGCTCAACAAATCCAAGGAGGAGATCAGGACCAAAGGCACCCTGCTGCAGATGAGCCGCTACGTGCGCGAGGTCTTTGCCGCCCAGCCCACCCGGCGGTTCGTCCACGCGTTCGCCGTCTGTGGGACCAAGATGGAGGCGTGGGCGTTCGACCGCTCGGGCCCCTACAGCTCGGGCATCATCGACGTGGACTCAAGACGGTTCTTTCAGGTGCTTGTTGGCTACACCATGATGAGCGACGAGGAGCTGGGACTAGACACCTTTATTGCTAGGGATGAAGACGGCAACAAATCAATAACAGTCAAAGGGCCTGGGAACTCAGAGGGAAAGAAGGTGCGGCTGGGTGAAATGCTTTCCTGTCAGTGTGCCATCGTGTGTCGTGGAACCACATGTTTTCTCACAAATGATGGACAAGTGGATGGTGTAGCCAAAATCTCATGGGTGTCGAACAAGCGGCGGCCAGAGGCGGAACTCCTCGAGCTGGCGGGTCAGAAGAATGTCCAGGGGGTCGCCAGGATCATTGGCCACAGTACCATTACTAGTATCGCCGACATGTGCTGTGGCCTGACCTTCGATGACAAGCGCCACGACTTCAAAAGCGCACCCTCCAGCACGGCTTCCTCTTTTCATCAATCTCAGCTGCTCGCCAAGCCCTGTCACTTAGATATCCGTCGAAAATCATCATCCAGGAAACGCAGATCCCCAGATGAGAGGCTGCAGGCGTCCAAACGATCACATTCCATCAGTCAACCATCAAGGGACACCCAGGAGGAGAACAAACTAGCATTCTCCATTCAGTTGGCGCACAAACCGAGCCTCTTTGACAGGAATGGTGAGGAACTAACTCTATGACAACCGTGTCCTCCGGTGTCTCGTGATCTCGCCCGCTGGCCGACCAATCTATGACTACAAGTCACCCTTCGAGCTTCTCACAGCGCTTCGCGATGCAATACACGCGCACCGGTCTCTTTACCTGGATGGGAACGTCCTTCATCGGGATATTTCGGAGAACAATATAATAATAACAAATCCAGGCAAGGCGGACGGTCACTCAGGCATGCTAATCGATCTGGATCTTGCCAAAGAAGTTGGGAGGGGGCGAAGAGTGGCGCGCGGCACCAGACCGGCACAATGGAGTTCATGGCGATCGAAGTGCTGTTTAATATCGACCAAACCTATCGGCATGATCTTGAGTCATTTTTCTACGTGCTTATCTGGCAATGTGCCCGTCACGGTTGGGAAAAATTAAAGCAATTGCAGAAGTTATACCAGCTACGTGTCTGGTCAGAAGATAGTATGCTGAAGAAATGGTGCACGGAAAGTCATGAAAAAATCGAAAACCTCAATCAAGGCAACACGGAAACTGGTGAATTTGAGCGCATCTTAAAGAATGAATTTTCTCCACCGAAAGACAGTATGCTGAAGGAGTGGTACACTGGAACCTATAAAAAAATCGCAAGAATCAAGCGAACCGATATGGACGCAGATGGGCTTGAGGATATTTTGACTGAGTTTCCTCCAGCATTTGAGTTTGCCAAACCGCTTTGCACAGCTCTACGAGACATTCTTTTCCCGTACCGGGTCAGAGGAATTATCGTTGGCACCCCGCAAGACCCAAACCGCATATACAATCCCATTATCAAGGCGTACGACGATGCGATATCTTTGATTGGATGTCAAAGTAATTAGATAATGGAGGTCGCGGTGCCGTTACTTTTGTTGATAAAATCCACACGTTGTGATGGAATATTTCGCAGCTGTCATGACATAGTGATGTACCACCGTCGATAGTAATTCCAACTCTGTCATCAACAGCCGAACAATATTTTCACATATAAATATATAGATCGGCAGCCTTAAAGGCATCGTCCATAACACCTAAGCAGACGATTTAAAGTTAATCTTCTAGACGCTAGATAGTTGTATAAAAGAGCAACCGTTTTGAGCTTCAGCCCACTCCACACCAAAGGAACTCTTTTCAACATGACGAGTAGCTTGCAAGGAATTGGCCTAGGAACGTGAAATTTGCTTATGGATATTTACGATGGAATACATTTTTGACATATGTGGTTTGGGTAGCAAGTTGCAGCATGACGGATATGATGTGCCATCTTCAAAAAAGAAAAAGGTCTAGTACCTTATTCCATCTGAATTCTTTGCTTTGCAATCACAATCATAAAGCACAGTCAAAGTTGGAGTAACTGCAGTAATATTGAACGTAGAAGAACAACATGATCCAGCCCTAGATTAATGTAATTTTTAACAACATATTTTCTTCTTTCTATGGTGGTATATTGCATTTAATCTACACATGAAGAAATTTGGTGTTGCGCTCACTTGAGAAGTAAGTAGTTAACGTTAACTATTTAACTAATAGTTAACTAGTTAACCAGTGGCGGTTGGTTCCCTTCCAAGTCCTAAAGTTTAAAAAGAGGTTGTTTCTCTTCCCACACTGCAGATGGGGGGAGGTCAGCTTCAAATAGACAGAACACACGGAGGGGGAAATATCACGCACAACTGTCAAGAAGAAAGCGCAGGGATATATATCCCTCCCACGAGAGGGAAAGACCATGACATCCTTCTACGTGCCCTCGGGCCAACAACGGTCGCTCCGCGCCTGCATGGTCTGCTCCATCGTCCAAGTGCACAGCGTAAGTCGCCGCATTCCACCTGCGCTCCCTCCCCATTACCACCTTTACACGTCCTAACATTTCCGGTTGTCTCTTCGAATTTAGAAATTTATGCGCGAAGGCTGCCCCAACTGCGACCACATTCTCGGTCTAGCAGGCAATGGCGAGAAGATCCAGCAATGCACGTCACAGGTGTTCGAAGGACTGATAACGCTGGCAGACCAGCGCGCATCGTGGGTGGCGCGATGGCAGCGGTTGGATGGGTATGTGCCTGGCACGTATGCGGTTAAGGTTACTGGCACGGTGAGTGGAGTGTATAGAATTTCTCTTTGGTGGTGGATGGGGAAGTGTTTGTTTGGTTGGCCATATATGGTGGGCGAGGGAGTTATGGGAACGGGAAGGGAGGGAGGATGCGATTGATACATCTAGGTGCTCTTTGGCTTCAGTGTATTTCTGAGAGCGCACAGATAGATGGCTAACATGTTTTTGTGAGGATTACATAGCTACCACCAGGCGTGCTGGGTGATTTAGAGGATGCGGGTTTTAGGTATATTCCGTACGTGGCCATCTCTTTCCTCTTTGTGTTTTCTATGTTAACCTAACTACCTTCCATTCGTTCTCCCTTTTTGGCTGGGGATATTATTCGCTAACACCTCCTTCGTCAATAGGAGAGATGGAAGCTCCATCGATGAGGAGGGTTGACAGTCGTTTCTTGCACTTGCAGAGGTGTCTTTATTGAATACTCGATGGGATTGGGTGGGATTAAACAATAATTTTGTTATGGCACTGGAAGTTTTGGCATTGGGGGGAAGGGATATTTCTTTTCCGGTTTTAGTTCCACCTTCACACACAAGGTCATTCTCAGTAGGCCTATGGAAGGCCCTTTAACGTTAGTAGCAGCAGCACCCCGTTTCGAATTTTTGTGCTTTTGGACTGGGGGTGTTTGTCGGTTTAGAGGAGTTTTGTTTGTTTCTACCAGAATGTATCAAGATGAGTGAAAATTTCCATGGTAACCGAGGGTCAGTGGGTGTCTCTTAAGGACCTTTTGGAACGGATTTCCAACAGCAAAGATGTAAAAGATGGCAATCAAAACTATATGAATTTAACTAATTATGAATTTTACACTCATCTAGCACTCGAATCCGCACCAAGTCTAGAGAAGATAACAAAAGCTAAAATCAACAGTAAACAGTAGAGGTACCATGTCAGATCATCAAAATCCAATGGAGAGAAGAAACAAGAGAAGGAAACCATTGTTTTACTTTAAGATTTGACAATCTTCTCCAAAGACTCGAGCAGGATATCGGCTATTTCACCAAGATATCATTAGCTTTTATTGGCAGGAACCACTTGGGACGTTTAAGGGGGGGGGAACGCTAAAAAGGAGAGATGGGTATCAAAATGAGATCTAGCTTACCATGATGCTTCTGGAAAATCAGCATAGGCCGTAAGCGCACAGCCCTCTCCCCACTCCCACCAATATTAATCCCAACACTCTTGCCCTTCTTCAAGAACGCATCACGCTGCGGGCTGTCCCAGGCAATGAATGTGCCCTGCCCCTTCCCTCTCAGATTCTGGAATTCACTCGGGTATTGCTGAGCCAACCGCTCGAGACCAGCATACAGATATTCACCCGTGGAAGCGGTGTTTTTTACCAGATCCAGCCGTTCAATTTCCTTGATGATGGCACGGAAGATCAAAGCGCGGGCTGGGTCACCCATCCATGTGTTGAATTGGCGGTAGGGCTTATTGGGGCACAGCTGTGGGTCCCCGTAGAAGTAGCCGGCTGCCTGGGCCTTTTTGGAGAAAGTGACGATGTCGGGGGGTGTTTGGAGGTTCCAGTGGTCGTGGGCCCAGAATTTGCCTGTGGCTCCAATGCCGGTTTGGACTTCGTCGACGATTAGGAGGACGTTGTTTTGCTTGGTTATTTCACGGAGACCCTGAAAGAAAGCTGGGGAGGCATGGTTGTCTCCGCCTTCTGACTGAATGGGCTCAACAACGACGGCGGCAACGGGGTTGCGGAACTCCTTGATGATACGCTCTACTTCAGCCAGGCAGCGTTTCTCTTCCTGTGCGTTTTCCGCGGCAAATTGTTCCAGGGGATACTTCAGTCTGGGGAAAGGGGCTTGAGGCCAATCGAAAGCAGGGATATCCAGTTTGTGTATGGGCTTGCTCCTTGTGGTGGAAAGAGATCCAAAGAGGCGTCCGTGGAAGGAGGTTTTGAAGGACATAATAGACAGTGGTGGGGAACCAGGAGCTTGGTTTTCCATACTAGAGGTGATCTCTTTCTTCAGTGAATTCGACATTGGGTCCACCACGTTGACGCTGGCGGTAGCAGATGAAAGCGGCTTTATAAGCTGTTTCGTTGGCATCGGAACCAGCCATGGCAGTGAACACCTGATTGAGGCCTTTGGGTGC